TACCCCCAAAAAACCCAACTATCAGTTTGAATGCAGTACTTTGCTTGGGGAAAATGAGCGCCATTTGCAGGGGCAAACTATTTGCGACCTGATTATTTGCAGGTTCTTGAGACTAAGTAGTACACCCTACTGCTCTGCCTTTCTACTATAGGCACAATATTAGTGGACTTTACAAGCAAATGCAAGCATTTAATGAGAGAGAGAGCTTCAAGGTCAAACACACTCAAGGCCCTGAAATTTGTGTTTATATACATATATTTTTAATACACATACACACAAAATTTTTTCTTTTTTTTTAGGTCTTTACCCTCGTGCCCTAGCTGTAATTGCATAGCACCAACTGCAGATACTTCAGGGACAGGAACGAAGACTTAGACCTCCGAGAGGAAGGGGTTATCATCTAAAGGCTTCTGCTTACACATCCATGCCTGCTTTATTTTACTCCTCTTAGGTGTGACTTGCACCACACCGCCCCTTTGCTCTCTGCCATATGAGATAAATTACTATTATAAACCAAACAACTTTGAAATGAAGATCAGCATGCTAAATCCAGCCAGTGTAATTTACATGACTGATCTCTGCTAATTACAGGGATGGCCATACACGTCTTTCTCAACATAGCCCTTCAGGTGTCAGGCCCTCCTTACCTTTCCTAAATTAAGCAATTTTTCCATTTTCAGAGCAGTCCTCAACTCTAACACTTTCTAGCTCTGCCATCCTTACAGAGCAGGTCTGACAGGATTTAGGCTCAAACTCCTGAAAAAAGCCTGCAATCAGAAGTCACCCCAGTGACCTGGTGAGCCTACTTAAAATCAACACAGTGCTCAATTTTAGTCCTAAGAGCAAGATTCTGGAAAGAGAAAGGGGGAGAAGACAGCAATAAAGGTTATAGCTCCATATAATCAACCAGACCCATTCTAACTATGGGTATCCCACTCCTTCCTCTCCAAGGGCATCCCACAACTCTTACTGTCAAGTGCTTTTCCAACAAAATACTACCCACAGAACCAGAGAAAGTGTTCCTTTTCAGATCAATTCTTTTGCTCTGCTGCTTTGTTTCAAGCCTCAGGAGCTAAATTACAATAGTGAAGTTAAAACCTTCTCTGCTAATAGCTCTGGAGATGTCCCTTAACAACTCTTAAGTGTTTGCAAAGAGGTGGTTTATCTTGAGCCATTCTTTCCCTTCCCTGTTTTTTTCCAGACAGCCTTTTGTTATGTTAAATCAATATATTTAGACAGTAATTATTCCCAATTAACTAGGTCACCACGCAGTATTCAAAAATAAAAGAAACTCCTCCAAATCAATTCAAAACCTAGAGGCCTCCTTATACAACCTGACTGTTGTGCAAACAAAAAGCAATATACAGGTAATTGGAAATATTTTTTTTTAATGAATTGAATCAGATTCTTTTTTAGGAGAATGAAGAAACCAAAGCACTGAGGCTTACTCACTGCGGCCTTATGCAAAGCAGGGCATATGCACAATACCTAATCCTTCTGTTACCAATAAAACATATGATTCTTTCAACATATACAAGTTAAGCATCATGGAAGGAAAGCAATATAAACAGGTGATCCTAACATACGAGACAAGGGACATTAGAGTCCCGGCAAACAGACACTCTGGAAAGAGGAAGAGGGAAAGTGAATTGGAGGAATCGTCTACCATCCAGCAGCTGTAACCCTCCCACACACCTCTCCCACCAACCATCGTGCGTGGCTGACACAAGGAATGGCATTTTGGTTTTGTTTTCAATCCAGCAGCTTAAAGATCTGAACTTGAAAAAAATCCCTTATGATGTGCAGGTTGTCTAGTGTTTGTGGTGACACACAAGAATTCCACTCCAAAATAACATTTACAGTAAAAAGCAACAACTTTAAAATTTTAACTATAAATGTTACAGGAATCTAAGTTTTCATTTATTGTCAAATTCTTTGATGAAAGATGCAAAGAAAAAGATTTTTTTTTTTTTAAAAAAGATAGATAGATGGTTGGGGGGTAAAAATCCAAACCAAATCAAAGCTTAAGCTCAAAACCCAGCATGCAGATTTTGCTCTTACTAGCTCCTGCCCA